TCAGATGCATTAGGAATTCCCTCGTGAGGAGGGTTTTCTAATATTTTTCCTTTATCTTACTTTGGAAATAAAACTAAAAATAAAAATAAAAATATCATTGGAGTGTTATCGTAATTCGTAATCTACCAGAAATCTAGACGGACGGTTGAAAGTGGAATCTTAGCCTAAAAATGGACAAACTTTTTTTAAAAAGGAAATCGACAAACTACTCGTACAACAAATTTCCTTAATTCTAAACCCCCTATCCCACACTCATTCATAAGGGGTGGTGGAGTACAGGAGTGTTCTAGCAAATATGTTAATATTGTTTTTATAAAGTAATTTTTAATTTTTGGGTATTACAAAGTCATCCTTTTACGTCTACAAAGGTCGGAAGCATTTCAGTCAGAGATAGAAAGAGAGAAAAAAAATAAAATATAAATCTCATAATCATACTTTGCTTTCAGTGATACTCGTATTCTCTGTAAGTTATTTTCATCGCCTCTCTCATTTTTTCGGGCTCCTGTTCAAATTTTTATGCTAATTTATGATGAAATGCTTGTTTTTATGGCTATATTTTAACTTCTAATCTCATATTTATGGATGAATTCATGTGGGTTTTTTTATTTTTTATTTTTTATTTTAAATTTTATTTATTTATTTATTTTTGAATAATTGCTACCTTTGTTTATTGTTTTTATTTTCTTAAAATATAGTAGCATAATTTTTAGTGGTACTCCAGATAATCAATTCATTCAGCTGTTGGGTGATTTTTATTACTGTATTGGACAGTTGTAAATTTGTAATTGCTGTGGTTGCTGCTTAATGTTTAAATGCCAAATTTCATGTATCATTTTTTTCCCGGAATAAGTTTTTGATTAGGCCTTCTGTGTGCTTTTGAAGGTGATAGTGTTATTGGGAACTTGGGAGTAGGTTATTTGATTATCAATCGCTGAAGGGTTTTATCTAGTTACTCATTTGATGCATAAGAACTAGAAGCTGGTGCAATTCCTGTTTTAGTTGGAATCTCGGGTGGTCTAGATGACTAGACACGCCGTCTTTAAATAGCAGGCCACATTTGCTTCATTTGATTTGTATTGGACTAGTAGGAATTTGGCCGACTTACTGGTGTTTTTTGTTAGGTACGGAATAGTTACTTGTATTTGCGGATTAAAAATGATTGGTTACTGATTCGATAGAATTGAAGTTGAAGAGCACAGGGCCTAACAATCTAGTTTAATCATCAGATGATTGTCATCTGTCAAATATCTTTTTTTCGCAATCCCCTGCATTGTTATTGAAGTTTTGTCATTGTATTTGATTTATAGTTTCATCATGTCTATGTATATAGCTGATGTATTGGTTTTTGTTTTGGTCCTGTAGAAGGAAACAATGGCAAGCAATGAAGGAGAAGCGAGTAATCAGGAAGGTAACCAGTATTCAGGGTTTCCTCGTGTCACCCTGAATGAGAGAATCCTTTCCTCCATGACCCGACGATCTGTGGCTGCTCATCCCTGGCATGATCTGGAGATTGGTAAAGTGTAGATGACATTTTGCTGTTCTTTCAGCCATGATACATATGTTTAAACCACTTGCTCATTGTTTTTAACCTTTGCTAATCTTGAATTTCTCTTAATTTCTGTGCTACTCATTGTGTTATACTAAAGGTGCATGTACAAATCTTTCTCCAATGCATATTGTTCATCAATTATGTCTGGTTGATGAGAATCAGGGAAATATCTTATCACATTTGCTCAGAATAGTTAGGCATCTGACAGATTGAAATCGGTTGGTACTTGGGACTGCTATCGTATAATTTATTAAGTTTACTATGCATAATTTATCACCTGTTTTGCAATGAAATATATGTTTTCCCTAATTGAGTAGTTGAGTACTGCTATCATATGTTGTTTCTGTCTTCATTGTTGGTGGTGTGGGCTAATTTACATCTCTGTGTTATTGATTATAGTTATTTGACAAGTTTATCAATCTTTGTAGTCTGTGTTTCTGACTTGTGTGTGGTTTTGTAGGACCTGAGGCTCCTACAGTTTTCAACTGTGTAAGTACAATGCTAATAACCAATTCATCTTGTTGTATGATAATGATTTTCTACACTGGACTTGATTTTGCAGTGTATTGTGTGGCTGACAGACGAGAAACATTATACTTATAGCACTTAGTTATTTGGTGAATATATGATGTAGAACATCAATTGTGATATTCAGATCTTAGATTCTTAGGTTAAGTATGTGATGGTACGAAGTATGGTTGTCAAATCATCTTTCCTCAAGGGCATTTGCTGTTATATGTCTGAGCACGGCAACCTAGTTTCCTTTCCTCTTCAGGAATGATTTTACATTGGATTTTTTTATTTTTTATTTTTTATTTTTTTGGGAAAATGTGTGGTGTCTTGCTCATACTCTACAATTATTTGCACTACAGGTTGTGGAGATAAGCAAAGGGAGCAAAGTCAAGTATGAGTTGGACAAGACAACTGGGTTGATTAAAGTAATGCTAGTTTTGAATTTTTTGATTTATTTTTTTCCTTAGTTAATGTTAGGTGCTTTATGATTTGTTCTCATTTTCAATCATTAATTTTTGCTGCTGTTGTTGGAACATTGTTTTCTAGGGATACTATTTGCGAATGGTTTGCCCTAAATATCTACCTTCAATGTGATAACACCCCTCCTCCACCTCTGCTGTATATCTGTTCCTGTTTTACTTCTTGGAGTCATTTGTGAGGACATATTGGGAGGGTTGTGTTTATATAATTAGGAGTAAATGGATCAGGGGATTGACTTTTTTTGATGATCTATGGGTTGGTGTGGGGAGTGTTTGTAACTGCATTTTCTATTCCTTTTTTCTTTCCCCATTCTGAAGGATTCCGTGATCAATCATGGCATTAAAGCCAATCCACTCCCTCCCCTGGGGGATATTGGCAAGAACTTAAAATAGATGCTTCGTTGTATGGCTGCATGGCCTGTATCTTATTACGCATTGCACAAGTACAAGTTGTGTAACTGATGCTGATCTTTACTTGTAGGTTGATCGGGTTCTTTACTCATCAGTTGTTTACCCACATAATTATGGTTTCATCCCGCGTACCCTTTGTGAGGACAGTGATCCTATGGACGTGCTTGTACTGATGCAGGTAGCAAATGAGCTATGTGAATCGTTATTTTATGTTACGTGTGTAAGATAGCCTTCATAAACTCATGGATGAAAGTATTTCATGTTTCTGCAATTTTCAGGAGCCTATACTTCCAGGTTCTTTCCTTCGAGCTCGGGCTATTGGACTCATGCCTATGATTGATCAGGTGAATGTCTTTCCTCCACCTTCACCTTTCCTGCTTTAGTAATGTACAGCATCCTACAATTATTTGGTCCTACCATAAACTGAAATGCCACAATCAACTTTCTAAAATTTAAACTTATATTATGTGTTGCAGGGTGAGAAAGATGACAAGATTATAGCAGTGTGTGCGGATGATCCTGAATTCCGTCACTACACGGAGCTCAATGAACTTCCTCCTCACCGCCTTGCTGAAATTCGTCGTTTTTTTTGAAGACTGTATCCTTTGCTTATCATCTTTATCTTTTGTTACTTAGAGATTATGGGTCCCGTTTTTGACCTTTTATTTCTCTTCCACTTCCATCAAAGGTTTCCTTCACAGAAAATATAGACAAGAAGAACGAGAATAAGAGTGTTGCAGTGAATGATTTTCTGCCAGCTCCAGATGCAATTGCTGCCATCAAATATTCAATGTGAGATTCTTTGTAACAATACAGTACATGATTCTGCAATGTCTTTATTCTCCAACTCTCCACTACTCCAATGTCCTTAGTACTTTTTTCTTCTCATATTGGACGTCCATAATAACTTGTGTTTGTTGTGCTGTGTCCCAGGGATCTCTATGCTTCGTACATTGTTGAGGGCTTGAGGCAGTAAGGCACACAAGTTGACAAGTGGTTATGATTGTTATTGTTAACGGCATTAATGCTTCATAAGTAGAGGCTGAACACTGATGAATTGCATTCTAACTGGCAGCTTATGTCTCCGTAGTTAAATGCTCCAAGCCTCTGGATATGATAACGATGATAAATAGATTGTGTTCATGTTTTATTTGACAGGCATGTAACCAATCTGGAAATCTTAGTGCTGGTTTTGAAATAGAATCTGGCACGCAGATCTTGATCTGTCGTACTCTATTTGTATGTGCTTTAGTTTTAGAATTCATTGTTCTGGAGAAAGAAGATTAGGCTTAGCCAATTAGGCATGCAGTGCCCAAATAAACCTGCCTGAAATCAATTTTGATAGAACAGAGTTATTAGGATGGATGTTCACAGAATTCCGCTTTCGTCCTCCACGAATGTTAGGATTTACGGAGTAGTTACTACTTGCATATTGTCATTGCTGCAATTTAAGCATATGGCTTTACCATCATAACAAATGAGTAAATTTATGAGATTTCATTTGAAGGAACCAAGAAACTATTATGTAGATGATGCATGCGATTAGTTTATGAATTTTAAAACAATACGAAGTAACTTGGTTGCTAATTAGCAGCTACTTCAATTGGTGGGTACCAGAAGGGAAAGCTTAATTGGGTTCTCCTACAAGTATTATAAAATATTAGGTTCAAATCTAATGTTGTATAGTTGTTATATACAAACCGTTTGTTTAAAGAAAAAATAAAAATAAAAATTAAGAGATCGTTCTTTTGAATGGTACATCCAAATTGCTTGTATTAGATGGGTTACATTTACAAATGTGCAACTTTTGTTCAATGTATGTAGTACTCCGTATTGAGATAAACCAAACATTAAACGGAGTACTTGTATATGAATTTAAAATGATGTGAGTAATTGTTTTTTTTTTTTTTTTTTTTAATAGAAAGACTAATTCAAAATAAAAAGTTTTACTAGTATCATAAAAGAGTAAGATTTTCATCTATTCGTGATAATTGAATCAAATACAGTACTTGGCAATATATTTTGAGCAAAGCTAAGATTGTTTGTTGTAATTCACGAATCTAATGAACTCCGTAATGAAATTTTTAGACAAAGTAAATAATACTACGGGGATCAGTCGTTAGTTTGCCCTTTTTATTTCTCTCTCCTCACTCTTTCAGTCACTTCCTCTCCATCTTCCCCAAATGCCCCACCCACTCTACTGATAAACCCTAATTTCCCCCCCTTTCATCAAATCCCTAAATCGACGAACCAATCAAATCGGAGTAAAACAACAAGAAGAAAATGGGGACGCTAGGAAGAGCCATTTACACCGTCGGATTTTGGATCAGAGAGACTGGTCAAGCCATGGATCGTCTCGGATGTCGTCTTCAAGGAAACTACTACTTCCAGGAACAACGTAAGCTTCACTTTTTTCTCTGCATTTTCATTATTAGATCTGCTATCATTTTCTATCTTATCCGCCATTTTTCGTAGATTTTTTGGATCAAATTCTTTATGATTCGTGGAAATGGTGAATGAGGTTGACTATGTTCTTGAATTGATTTTTCTTTCTATAAATTGGGAACTAGAGCTGTTGTTTTTATAAGGAACATATATGATTGGAGAAATTCTGGTGGATTGAATCATAGAACTTTGTTGTGGGGTAGCTGTTTTGAGTCATTGAAAGAAATTAGCTCTAATTTGCAATTGGAGCTTTATTACGAAATGCCGCAATTTGTTGATGGTTTAGGATGTATCTACATGTACAATGATTCACTTGAGGTTTAATTCGAAAGTCGAATTGGTAGCCTATGACGAGTGTGTGGGATTTTGATTGTTGAACTTTGGCCCTGTGGAAATGTGATCATGTTTTGGTGGCTGCTGAGCAGCTGAGATTGTACGGTGATGGCGATGTGGTTGATTGAGGGGTGGGTTGCCTTTTATTCTTTGAAGGTAGAAAAGTAAGTGACATGTTTTTAGCTGAATAGTGTGATGATTTTAGTTTTGGACCAATGCTTTAAGGTTTTGAGAAATGTTTGGGTTACTCTCACTAGGGGATTCTATAGGGAGTTTTGTCCAACAGTTGTTATTCCTGATAAGATATGTTAGATGTGGGTGTTTTGCTGGAAGTTCTATATTCAAATAATCAAATATAAGGGCATGACATTGCTGGCGATATTGGATGGAATTGAATTGAGTTTCTAATAGTTCTAGTGTTTTTCAGGGATTATTTTCTTGACTTTTATCTTTGATTGACAGAGAATTAAGTAGAGACTAGTATTGATTGACAGAGAATTAAGTAGAGACTAGTATTGATTGTGTGTTATGCTGCTGGGAGCTGCAGGAATTTCTTTTTGAAGTGTTTGCTAGAGAAAGATCATAATCCCTCATTTGCACGAAGCTGAAAGATGATCTGGTGTTTTGTAATCCTATAAATTTCATTGACAATATCTCACAGTAAAAGATATTCACCGTGAATTGAGCATATATACTTACTTATCTTATAATATGATGCCTCTAATGTTTGGTCCTAATATTGTCATCTGTGTCTCATATTTATATGCTGTCTTTCTTTTTTTAAGTGTCTCGACATCGGACCCTCATGAACATTTTTGACAAGAAGCCCATTGTTGACAAGGAAGCATTCGTGGCACCAAGTGCATCTGTTATTGGTGATGTGCAGATAGGACATGGTTCTTCCATTTGGTATGGCTGTGTCTTAAGAGGTAAGGTGTTTAAATTTTCCCTCCTTTTCCAACCTTGTATGATAGTTTGTTTTTGCTTTAGACTCACATAAACAAAAAGCATGTGTTTGTTAGTAAAAGCTATGATCTTTATTATACCACCTCCATCTTTAATTGATATGTCGCATTTTACTTTAGTTGCCAAAGCTTGTTAACTTTGATCTTTAATCTGCCTGATTTTGTATTAATTTATTTGCATAATTTATTTTTTAGAAATAGCACTTTCGTAAGCTATTTAATAGTTTTAAATTACATTGTGATTAAATAATACTGGTCAAAGTTGAAGAGATTTGATCATAAAGAAAATTGTGATCTAATATTTTTAAACAGATATAATTTCAAATATTAGCTTTAAGTTACTGAATTTTTATTTATCTAATAATAGGGTTTCCAGCTTCATGCACTATTACGGAGTATTATTAAACTATAACAGTAGGATCTAGGAATCTAGGATGCATGAGCTCTTTTCATAAGTAGCTTTAAACACACAGCAGGGTAATGAAGCTGCACAAGGCAGCTTTTTTTTTTTTTTTTTTTGTCTCTAGTGTTTTAATTCCTAATATATCTTACCATTTGCTTTGCCTGGACATTAGCTCTTTGTAAGGCCTGTGATACATACGATGCACGCCGTTGGGTGTTCAGTAATGATTGTAGCTTAATTGAGAAAGAAGTTTTAAATCTTTTGTTGCTGGAGATGATGCATTGCTGTTAGAATTTTGTGATACTTTGCTAATTTTTTCGAAACATGATTATAGATTGATATTCTTTAAATGAATGACAATATTTTATTGTGGAATTGTGCGCTTGACTTAGTCTAGGCGTGAATCTTTGCCTTTCTTCTCCTGCATTTTCCTTTGCTCACCTTTTAAATCTTTAACAGTATTGCATTATTATTTTAGCTTTCTAAGTTCTAACCACTTCCTTAAAGTAAGTGGTAGCTTCGTAGGAGACTTTGGATTAATGTTATGAATATATGATATGATTGGCACTTGGATGTCATATTTGCTTTTTGTCTATTTCTACTGTTAACCTCTGTTTTCATTTAAAATATCCCTGCATGCACTTATGCACTTTTGGCTGCTGCTGGCAATGTTCCTTAAATTATGTTCTGCTGCCTAATTTGGCCTTAATTAATCTTATGCAGGTGATGTGAACAACATTAGCATTGGATCTGGGACCAACATTCAAGACAATTCTCTTGTTCATGTTGCAAAAACTAACTTAGCTGGGAAGGTATTGCCGACCATTATTGGTGATAATGTTACTGTAGGTGAGTTAAAAAAGATGAACAAACTACTATACTTGTTTTCCAGTATGTAACAAAATTGTGTGACCTTTGATATGCATTGACCAGGTCATAGTGCTATCTTACATGGCTGTACTGTTGATGACGAGGCATTTGTGGGCATGGGTGCCACTTTACTTGACGGGGTGGTTGTTGAAAAACACGCCATGGTTGCAGCTGGAGCTCTTGTAAGACAGAATACTAGAATTCCCTCTGGGCAGGTAGTGAATTGCTCCCTTTCTACTGCTTAGCTAGTTCTGTTTTAGTTATTCGAACTGAAAGGTCTGAACCATTTTGTACTTTCTCAGAAGTTAATGCACGGATTGCTTAAGAAACCTTTTCACTGTTTTGTTGTGAGAAAACCATGATGATCAAGGATCATGAGTGATGGTTTTGATAATTGTTAAGGAACGAATGCCAAGTGGAAAGTAGGTGTTTGGGTAGAAATTGGAGTTTCTGTGTGCATGTGTTTGATATAGTCTGGATGCGAAAGATGAAATTCGGACTGGATTTGTGAAGTGTTTTTAAAGAATAAAAAGGTTCTTTGTCTTTTGAAATTAGGGCAGAGTAGAAGTTTTAGATTGGATAGAGCATTTCATTGATGAATAATTTGCTTAAAAAATTTCTGTTTAATTTCCATTTAATTAGTATTTTCATTTTCACATTATGTTCTGGTTTTCTATTTTAGTTTTAAGCAAATATACCCTGTTTTAGACTTTTGTGTGATTGAGACCCTCCAATGCATGAGATTTGCCTGAGCCACTTGCTAAAAACCTGTGCTTCTAGTCATTAATGTGGTGTCACATGCATCATTGGTGTATTTGAAGTGGAACTCGAACCTTATGTTGTTGCATGCCTACCACTTAATGTTAGGATTTTGGGCCTTCTACCTCCACCTGTTAAAATTAGTTGGGGCATGACATAAAGCAGAAAGGTTGGTCTCAGTTTTCGAGTCACCTTGTCTTATGTCTTAAGGGGCTTTTATGATAAGAATCCAATTAGTGTGCTTGTTTTATATGTTCTATAAATTGTAGTAGTTATTTTGGTCTGGGCTGAGTCCTATCTGGTTATTTTTGCCTGTAGGTATTCTGTCTCCAATCCAATGTGTAGCATTTTTAAATAACTTGACTAATAAATTGATGTTTTTCATCTGAGAAATGCCTGGTCAGAGTGGTTGCTGCCACATCTCTTCTGCCCTTTGGGAGGGGCAGTTCAACTTAACTTCTTTTTTTAACCGCCCTCTGAAGTATCATAGGTTCAATTGGAGTGTGCAGGAATGCAGGCTCATGCTTGCTAATATATTTGTATGCCACTTCTTGAATACAGGTGTGGGGTGGAAATCCGGCTAAATTCCTCAGGAACCTTACCAAGGAAGAGTTAGCTTTCATATCTGAATCTGCCATTAATTATACCAATCTTGCTCGGGTTCATGCATCCGAGAATGATAAGGGCTTTGAAGAGATTGAATTTGAGAAGGTTCTGCGAAAGAAATATGCTCGCAAAGATGAGGAATATGACTCAATGATCGGTATTGTCCGAGAAACACCCCCAGAGCTCATCCTCCCTGATAACATTCTGCCAAACAAAGGCGAACAAAAATCTTCCTAAATTAAACTCTCTTGCAACTCTTGCTGTCACATTGCTGGGGTTTGTTAATGTTATTTTGTCAGCTATGCTCAGATATTACCAAGGATGGCTGTTTCAGTTCCAATAATTCAAACAATTGTTGCCTTGCAATTTTGGGTTTGACATCCATCAGTTGTTGGTTGTATTAGAAATTTGATTCCTTGTGCTCTGTAATGCCTTGATGATTCATTTCGGATGTCAATTCATACATAAAGAATCCTTTTGAGTTACCATGTTTCATCCTATTCACAGGCCTTGGAAATAATGTGGACAAAGCTAAGGATAATGGTTTGTTTTACAAAGCCAAAGCATGTTGAGCTATTATGTCTTGCAAACAAACAATTCAATCAAATTTTCTTATCTTCTTAATTGTTACAATTTATACAAATAATGAAGTTTCTAAATTGAGTTATGTACTGGACCATGGAGGTTGTGTATGAAATGCAAGTCATTGTGTTGCATGTAATGCTCATGCTGTCTTAAGCATACCGTTCTTTGGTATGTTAAGGGGTAAGATCTAATTTAATGAAATTTACCGAAGAGAATCCAACTATTCAAACCAATTGTAACAAGAAGCAGTGAAATCGCGGAGATAATTCTAGTTTAGTCTAACCTACAAATTCTATTTAACTCGCGGGTGTTACAATTTTCTTACGAGTTATGAGCTTCAATAAGCAAGAAATGAAATAAATCGAGCAAAGGGCTTCGTGTGAGCAAGAAATAACCGTAAAAAGTGAAAAAAAAACAAAAGCAAGGTGAAAGGAGCTATAAGCAACTGAGCTTTCTCCATAGCACGGTCGGTCGCAGCGCTGTCTGTCTTCTCTCTCACAGCTTTCTTCTTCCTTTTCACAAAACCCTAATCATCATCTCTCGCAATTCGACGAAGAAGAAAGGGGGAAAATGGGGACAATGGGAAGAGCAGTATACACAGTCGGATTCTGGATCAGAGAAACTGGTCAAGCACTTGATCGTCTCGGTTGTCGTCTTCAGGGAAATTACCACTTCCGAGAACAATGTAATTTCTCTCTCTTCTCGTTATTTTTTCTGGATTCAAAAATTTATTGTGTTTTGATTGTTGATTTCATTTATTAGTCTATTACTGTGGAATGTTGCTGATTAATTTGACCTTTTGTTTTTGGATTAGGTTAATGTTTTTGAATTAGGATAATTTTTGTCCAATTTTTGTTGTTTGAAAATGGAAAAGGAGATTCTTCGATTTCTGCCTTTGAAGTTTGAATTCTATGGTGGAACATATTTTATGAACAATCTAAAGTGTACTACTACTGTATTATTTGGTTATTGATTTTATCCATCCAAGTTCCCGCTGAAGGCAGACGGAAACCAACTTCCGTGCCACTTCTGAGGTGATGCAGTGATAGGAAACAGTAGACACGGAAGTAGCTTCTATCATAAGTGGTTTGAATCCCCTAAGTTCTTTATAAAGTTTATGGGGTGATTTATACTAATCCTACCAGTAATTTTCTTAGCTTGGTGAAATATTGGTTTTTGTACATGCATTGAGAAACCTGTTTGAACCCATGCTCAAGTTATTAGTTAGCAATCGGTTAAGGTGGTGTATTCTACTATGTATGAACTCCAAGCTAAAGAAATTACTATTTCCCAATAAAATAAAAACCATAGAAAATCCCGCAAATTAAGTATAACAAGTCATTTTTCATTTCTCTAATTATTGCAAGTTGTTTTTAACTGTCCTATAACAATTGATCTACCGACTATATGAATTCGGAAGATATAATACACAAATGTATAGTCAAGACATTTAGTATGAGTAACTTAAAAGTATTCTGCCTCTGCCCTAAAGGATTAAAAAAAAGGGAAAAAAGAGGAAAAATTATGTCTTTAATTGAGCATTATGTAATCAATCATATTAATGCCCTAGAGTGTCAGGATTCAGGAATAAAGATTAATTGTAAGGACGGAGGCAACCGATTTCATTTCCCCAATGTATTATCCTCTTTAATTTTAGGATAAACTTCTGTTTTCATTGAAGCTGAAAATTTGACACAAGGACCAGAAAGTTTTAATGTGGATTTGAAGTGGGTGGTGCAGTTTTGATAATTTGTTCTGAATATTCTTCATTTACTGATGTCTCAAATAAGGAAGGCTAGCAAATAGCAATTGCCTTAGGGACAAGTATCAATTGGGGATTTCTCTTTAGTTAACTGGTAATAGAAAGTCCACCATGAAATTTTTGTATTGGCACATGAGAATCAGGAAGTGGTGCATTGGTGATTGCTTCCATCTTCCCCTTAGTTTTAGGGGCTCAACTCTTGCTCTTGTTCTTGCTCTTGCTCTCTCTCCCTCTTTTTTTTTTTTTTTTTTTTTTAATTTCTTGTTATTGTTATGTCTTTTGGGTTCTCTTTTAGCTTTTACTGTACACACATATAATTGGACTTTGCTGACCTGGTCTTGTGAAATATCTTGTAAGTGTTACTGCAATAATTGCTAACTTATTTCTTTATCTAACTTTGCCTTGTTTCAGTGTCACGGCATCGAACTCTAATGAACGTATTTGACAAGAAGCCTTTCGTGAACAAGGAAGCATTTGTTGCACCAAGCGCATCAATCATTGGAGATGTTCAGGTTGGACATCGTTCCTCAATTTGGTATGGATGTGTTTTGAGAGGTAATGCATTGCCCAACATGTTTGACCTGTTCATAATTGGCTCAGTTTTGCATGTGCACCCTAGGGTAATATGCCTTATGTGTGGCAATGATGCGTATTAAGTTACATTGCTGGACTTAGTGGATAAAAAAAGACTAAGTTGAGTAAAGAATGTTTTCTGAGCTTTCTAGAAAGGTTAGACCTATGGAGATATGCAGATATCATCAAGATTGCATGGCTGTGTGAGAGGTTGTCTTTTCAATGCATCTTGTCTTGAGAGGTCAGAAAAAGGGTCCTGATTAATAATGAAACTGATAATCTCTTTAGCTTTTTATTAGTCTATGAATTAGTTATAAGATGAGCTTACACTGCTGATGGACGATATGAAGGTTGAGTTATAAGAGTCTATATTTCACTTGCAACTATGCACTTCTATGCTCTGAACTCAAATAGTGAGGTATATTTATATATCAGTTTCAGTTTGTATACTGATATGCTATCAGTTTATTGAATAATCAATTTTATAAAATAGTTATAAATTAGGTTGATTGTTTTACAGAAGCTGTCATGGGTAATCATGTAGGCCTGCAGGATTAAGGGTGTCAAGAGAGGAAATAACTTAGTTTCATTTAAGAGGTTGCCAGAAAAATGGGACATGCCAGCATTAGGATTTGGTAATATTGTATTTTAGGATGGCAATTATTCTATCAATGGGCTTTGGCTACATTTGAAGAGACAAGATTGCGCTGTCCTCCTAGCTATGTTGCAAGCTCTTGACATTTCTATAATTGTGCCTTTCTACAAAAATAAGTGATTTAGCATTAAAGTACAAGATGTTACCCCATCTCTAAATAATTGGAATGTTGCCTTTTGGAACAAATAACATGGAAGAGGGGAGTGGTAGCTTTTTTTGGATGAGGAGAGTGATAGGGAGGAGTAGAGGACCCATGCTCTGATCAAGGTGGTTTCAATTAACATGATAAACCTGAAGAGGAATGTGCTCCAATTATTCAATGTCCAAGTGTTATAAGTCCTACAAGTAGCCACACCTTTATTTTTTCTCATAAGCTCAACCATGAAAAGGAACTCTTTTGGGGTGGCATCAGAGATGAAGAATTGAATACATACCCACTTTACTTGAGTAATGTCACAGCTTCAAGTCTCTATCTCCCCTAGAAAGTTTAATTTTCATTTATTTTCCCTGGTCCTATTTGTAATGAGCTCCACTGCCTCGTTAAACAATGGTATAAAATGATCCTTCCAAATTCCCTCTATATTTAATACTTCATGTCATCTCTTTCATGTCTAACCAAAAGTGTCTCATCATTCGAGGAACCACATACACACCATTATTTATAAATGTCTCGTGATATATGCTGTTTTTCTTTTACCGGCAACTCTTACACGGCTTCAATTTTGTGCAGGTGATGTGAACTACATTAGTATTGGGTCTGGGACTAATATTCAAGATAATTCTCTCGTTCATGTGGCGAAAACCAATCAATCTGGGAAAGTACTGCCGACTATTATTGGAGACAATGTTACTGTGGGTCAGTGTTATATAGTATTTGTTTTGCAGATGTATACTTGTATATAGTTTCTGTTGACGTGACCTAAGTTTGGACTTAACAGGTCATAGTGCGGTATTACATGGCTGCACTGTTGAGGATGAGGCCTTTATTGGTACGGGTGCTACTTTGCTCGATGGTGTTGTAGTTGAGAAGCACGCCATGGTTGCAGCTGGATCTCTTGTACGACAGAATACAAGGATACCTTGTGGGGAGGTTTGTCCTTAACTTATGCTGCTTTTTATTTTATTTTTCTCCAATTAAATCTGACATGACAGTTGTTTGAGGAGGATAAAGCAAATGTTTTTACATAGGGTTCCAAAGGGGAAAAAGTTGCTTCGAGTGGAATTTAGAATTAAGGGTTGGTTTTTTTATCTAACCTTTTTTACTTATGGGCAATTAGTAGAGTAAATGATCCATTTAAAGCTAATTTTTTTCCCCTTGTCATTGTTGTTAAATTTTCATTATAAATGGTACATATCTGAAATCTGGATAGAGTCAAGTTCCAATAATCTGTGCCGTGACAATTGAAAGGTATTCTCATCACATTATGCGATCCTTTGCTTGAGTCCAGGTAGTACTAAGTACTAACACGTATACATGATAGAAGTTGATTTTTTCCGAGGACTCAAAAAATATAAATATTCCCTCCATCCCTGGATTGTAGGCCACATTTGATTGGGGATCCTGTTTAAGAAATTGAGTTAAATTCCCTACCTATTCATCATTGTTCAAACTTTACAGCCCCACCAGACCAATGCAATTCTTATTTGATAGAATGCTAAGGGTAATATGGGGAAGTACTAAGTTTAACATACTCGTCACGTAAGAACTTGCTTGGCCTGTTCTCAAATGTTAACTTCAAAAATATTTTTCATGGGAGTCTTCAGATGGACAAACTAGGTGCTTATATAAGTTTTTCTTTGGAGCTCCGTATGCAATTGTAAATAGACTGTTGATTGCATTTTGAAACTTGTAAAACAGGTTTGGGCAGGAAACCCTGCAAAATTTTTGAGGAAGCTCACAGAAGAAGAGATGGCTTTCATTTCTCAGTCAGCCAATAATTATTCTAACCTAGCACAGGTTCATGCAGCCGAAAATGAGAAGAGCATTGATGAGGTTGAATTCAAAAAGGTGCTTCATAAGAAATACAACCTCAAGAATGAGGATTACAGCTCAATGCTAGATGCTGTTCGTGAAACTTCACCAGAGCTTGTCCCTGACAGCACTGCCAGATAAGTCAGCTATAAGGGTTTTTCTAATTGGGAGCCCTTCCCAGGCTAATTGCCATTTTGGATTGTGTTGTTACCAGGTGACTTTGGTTATCCCCAATTTTGGGCAGTCTGCTTTCCTATTTCAAATAGTATAAAAATGTTGGCTGATTTAATGGCCAAGACACAGCAAATCTTGAGTCTTGCATACCTCAGAATCTTAGCATCTACCTTTGACGATGTTATGACAATGAACTTAGGTGTCAAATAATCTTCGACCCTTCATAGCTACCTTTGTTTCAAATATGGCAGAACAAAAAAAAAAAAAAACTGTAATGAGGTTGAGTGTAGCTTTCTTCAATGGTTGATGAAGAAAAATTAGAGGCAGGAAAACATTGAAAAGTGTACTATGGAGAAAAGTTTAGCTTTCTTTTCCTATGCTTACTATTTGTTATTCTCCTTTTGCGTGCAAAAATTAAGGTTACTTTCTTAATAGTGATTTGCATTATTGTGATAAAGTCATCTTTTGTGTGGTGGTGAATAATAATAATACTAGGCTTTGTTGCATTTGCATATTACTGCAAGCTTTCGGCTGGATTTGCATATTTTTTTTTCATTTCGCTTTGTAATATTATACTGGAATTGAGTAGTGAGAGCTTGTAGCTTGTAGGCCACACCCTTATCTCGATTCATCGTTGTCTTACCCTAACCTCAGTAGTTAGCACATGGGTTTGATGTATATGGAACAGGTTGAACATTCGAGCGTATATTCATTTTGTCCGTTTATGAAACTTTTTTTCATGTTTATCAATGCAAAACTTTTAAGCAATTTTTATAATTATGTTATTATAAGAACTATAAAAAGTTGATATGTTAAAAATACAAATTGAGAGAAGTGGGTACATAATAGATCAATTAATACTCGGCTGAAAGAAGATTACAGATTAAGGCAATAGCCCTACATTGCTACATATGTGCCCTATTAATCTATTATGGACTGTAGGGTGCACCTTAAATGGGCGCACCAGGCAAGAACATAATCTTCAAAGATTCTCTACTTAAAGTGCTGATTAAGAATGAGTCACGAGGCATCTTTTAATTAATTAAGTACAAAAGAAGGCAATTATGGGCTTCTTTTTTCTAATTTGATAACATTAGAGGCATCTTCCACGCATAATTAACGGAAAGGCTTGATTAATGGAACTCCTTTCGATGACAATATGGTCAAGATGAGATTATCCTATTTTTTGTATATCAACTCTAAAACAATATCTACCAAATAAGTTGACATTCTTAAAAATTTCGTCTTTTGTAAGATTAAATTTCATCCTTGCCGCAACTTAAAAGAGTGAATAGCGTAAATTGTAAAGAATTAAACTAGTATTTTCTCAATCCCTATTTATTTGCACTGTAAGCTCACTTTTTGAATCAAATGGTGCAAACAATAAGGGACGGGAAAGTACATTGCGCATTTTATGACCTTCACAAGTATTTATATTTAAAGATATTAATGATAAACCAAAGCATCTGCAAGATTCTAAAAAACCGAAAAGCGATGAAAAATCTGAATGGGCCTATGTTGCACTTGCCGCAGCTGTATATATATATAAAAAAAAAAAAAAAAAAAAAAAAGGTGAGGCTACCACTCCACTATAATAATATACTGAGTAAGACCTTATAATGTAAGATCCCCCTTAAAAAGGACCGAAATAAGTAATCTCATCATCACTTTCTTTCACTGCTAGTCGTCTTGAAAGTGTGTTGAGGGAGTGTGGAGTTTTCTCCCAACTTCTCCGCCGCCTCTTATCCGCTTCTTTACCCTTTAAAGCTCTTTTTATAAAATGGGGGTTGAGGCTAAGGTTGAAGCAAACCCAATTTCGAATGGAAATTCGATTGAAAATGGTAATTTTCCAGTGGTTTTGGGTCTTCAGCCCTCTGCTCTTGTTGATCATGTTGCCAGGGTTGATTGGTCTTTGCTCAATCATTTTCCCGGTGAAATGGGTGGCTCTATTCCGGTAATTCTATCATAAAAATCCCATCTTTTTTGAATTATGAGGAATTGGATTGTACTCCGTATTTGAAATTTGTTTTGTGTATGTTGCAACTGGAATATATGTTTCCGTCGTACTTTACTTGCCCCATAACCATATACACGGAATTTTTAGCAAACGAAAAAGTATAGAAAAATTATGTTTGGATGAGGATGAGACCCAATTCAAGAGAAAAAAATTATAGGTTTTGGAATTGTTATAAAACATTACAATTCACATAATTGGTGATGAATGTAAGGTTTCATGTGTTTTTAGTGGTGATTTATTAATAATATAAGCTTGTGTTTCAATTGTTGCAATGATTTCCCTGATATGCTTGAATCCAATAAGACTTTCTTTTGTTTTATGTCTTTTTAATTGTAATTAGGTTGCTTTTGCGGATGTAGAACGCATACTTACTGAGGTCAAAACCCATATATCCCTAACCCAAGATGACTTATCTCCTATGAAGACCCTTGGTGGAGGTAGTGTAGCGAATACGATTCGAGGTTTGTCTGCTTGCTTCGGTGTGGCTTCCGGTCTTGTTGGTGCTTGTGGTGATGATGAGGAAGGGCAGTTGTTTATGCATAACATGAATTCTAAAGATGTTGATCTATCAAAATTGAGAACAAAGAAGGGAGCCACTGCCCAAGTGAGATTTACAAATATTCTGACACTTGGAGTAAACCTACTCTACATAGTATTTTTTGTAGTGTGTATCTGAATTGTATCTCTTGTGCAATACAGTGTGTCTGTTTGGTTGATGCAGTTGGAAATCGCACGATGCGACCGTGCCTTTCTGAGGCTGTTAGACTTAAGGTGCTTGATTTTTCTCATTCTGTAATAGTGTTTGTGATGCTATTTGGAGTCCTTTGTTTGTGCTAATCGACGTAAGAAGAGCACCAAGCTGTGATATTTGACCATTATGACTTACATGAATTACCTAACATGTCGTCTCTCCTCATTTCTTATCTCTTTCAGGCTGATGAGTTGATTGAAGATAACTTCAGAGGATCCAAGGTAGTAACCTGTATTTTCTGAACTGTTTCATAAATTTTTATTCTTAGAAATTATAAGCGTGTTAGCTGGCCAATTTTACAATGTAATTTAGTTATATATTTCTATATTTCTAAGCAAATAAAAAATTATATACTTTCTCCGTTCTATTAATATTGCAACAATGGACTTTTTGCTCTATTCATCACTCTTGTTTGACCATATAATATAATATATATGTTAAGCAAAATATAGTCACGTGGGATCTTGTTGGATTCGTCTTAAAATACTTTCACAATATCAACTTTTTATAATTTTTACTCTTACATAACTATAGATATTTAGCATATAAAATGTGATATGGGATGCGTAATTTTATCCTTGTTGCAATATTAATAGAACGGAGGAAGTATATAAAAGAGACTTGAGGGTGTTTTCAATATTTCTGACTCCCCATTCCTTAAGGCAAGGACAAATAAGTATATCAGCAATTGGCTTATGTTGCAGAGAAATTTTTTGTTGGGGCAAGTAGATTGAGCAATTCACTAAGCTATCTGTTTCTTCTCTTCAGTGGTTGGTTATGAGATTTGCAGCAATCAATTTGGAACTTATACATGCTGCTGTTAAGATAGCAAAACGGGATGGCCTTCTTGTCTCCTTGGACTTAGCCAGCTTTGAGGTATATAGTTATATACTTTTATTCTTTCCCTTCGCTTTCTTGTTTGCCTTCTTTTACTCGTGATCTTTGCTGGCACCTCCAGGCTCTTCTTCTTTAATGAATTGCTAAAACACTTTGGCAGATGGTGCGAAGCCATAAGTCAGCTTTGATAGAACTGCTTGAGTCTGGAGATATTGATCTTTGCTTTGCCAATGAAGATGAAGCAATGGAGGTTCTGAGGTAATCAATAGATTCAATATCTTCCCTACAATATGTCAATACGTATGACATGTTGCTTGTTGCTACTGTATGAAACTGTGGTAGAGCTAGTTGAGTATATTAGTTTTTGTCTGAAAACGAAAACTTTGCTGTAACATTGAAAGTGTAGTTCTCTTTCTCAATGGATCTGAAAGCTTCCCTGAAATCACTAAGTTATTTGGTCTGACAAAGGAGCAGATGATTTCTTGTTAATTCAAGCTTCAGAAACATAATTTTGTTCAGAAGGGATAACATTCATCAAAAGTGAAATCCCAGCTTCAAGGAGAGTTTTGCTAGGCATATACTCCTACAGTTCATTCTAATCTTGTTGCATTATTTGCATTAATCTTATTACTATCATAAATCCGTGGAGTCAAACCTATCTCACTATGCTATATTAAGGCTTGGTAGGTTCAATTCATCAGCTATTTTCCAAAGTTAATACTGATCATGAGTTTATGACTGAGAATCTGATGGTCTATACACATTTAAAGCATCATATTGTTTTCCATGGCTGTAGGGGCAAGCAAGATACAAGTCCTGAAGCTGCTCTTGATTATCTAGCCACACATTGCCAATGGGCTGTTGTAACGCTTGGCTCTAAAGGTTGCATCGCTAAACATGGAAAGGAGGTCTGTTGGGTGTGCTCAGATAGAATGGTGCATCATGACTTTTATATCTTGCTTTTTAATCATACTTGCTTCATGACATCAACCTCCTCATGTCAACCAATTATTTGTGAAATCTGTAAGCACTAAATATCTAACATGAGATATTGACAACTGGTTTTCCTCATGCAGACAGTGAAAATCTCAGCCATAGGGGAAGCACAGCAATGCGATACCACAGGAGCCGGTGATCTCTTTGCCAGTGGGTTCATATATGGTTTGATAAAGGGTCTATCCCTAGGAGATTGTTGCAAAGTGGGCTCTTGTAGTGGTGGGTCTGTCATTCGTTCACTTGGGGGTGATGTAACTCCAGACAACCGTCAATGGATGTACAAGCAGATGCAAATCAAGGATCTTCCCATTCCCAAAGTCTACGTATGATGCTTGCTATTAGTCATGTCAGCTCGCTCCCATTGGGAAGGAATACATGAAGAGGTAACATACTGTGAGTATTACTGATCCTGTATTGAACCAGCAAGTTACACCCCTTCTTATGATTACTTAGATTTGCCCTTATAAGCCCGAGGCCAATTCTGTGGTGTTGTAAACTCCTAATATGAGAGTAAAAGTTGACGAGTCTATGTAAACATCATTCCTTTGATAGCTGGGGCAAAAGCTTCACCCATTAATAAATGAAAATTTTCCATTTTTATCATCATTTTCTCAGACTCCAATAATGCGTGCTTAACCTCAATAACAGATGCCAAATATTACATTTGGGAAAACACATTTTGACAATCTGACCTGTATTTTGTGTAAATGGGCAAGGTTTCAAATGGGTTGGGCCTACGGAACTTAACCGTGTTTATGTTGTCATCTTATTGGGCTTATGTATAGCTGTACATACAGCTTAAATCTGTTTACATTTGCTTCATTATCAACCTGCATTGGGCCCTATTATTCAGACTCATCCACGGGTCTATTTTTCTGCTCATTTAATATTTCTTTGATTATCTTAATTTAAAATCACGTCGTATGAATTCTGTGTCAGTCACATTGTCTTTGTTGTGGTTGTACTCCGAATTTCTGTAAAACCGTTACTGTAAAATTCAAGTGATTTATTACGATAAGCAAGCTTACATGTCATTTTCCTTCAGGAGGTCACGACTCACCGCTGCAATGACAATGTATTAAGTTAATTAACAACTCTAGAGCCAATTCAAAGATCTTAGTAAGATCCATAGACTTTTTGTAAATAATACTTGTGTATAAAAAATAAATCCAGATATACGTTCTTAGACCACTTCTAAGATGTAAGAATGTAATCATATTAAACTACTCATTTACTAGAACTCTATGAAGATACGCAATCCTTTTTTTTTTTTTTTTCCCTCTTAGTACTAATACGGTTCTTATAATGAGTGTCTATAGACGCTTGTTTTAAAAAAACTACAGTAGTTTTAATGAGACATTGATATATATACCTCTGCTGTTTTAATAAGGTCTCAAAAACGACGATTTTTATTGTTCAATTAATTGTATGAATTAAAAAAAGTTTATATCGCTTTGGTCCTGAGACTCACGTCTAATGGCAATGAATTGTTTATCCACCAAAAAATAATATTTCAATCCAGCAAATACATAGGTGGCGAATGACAATTATATTTTACTAAGTGTTGAACTTTATTAGGAACTCCCTTTCTACGTAGTAGTTTCAACTATATAATATGACCAATATATATCCAGTCCATCAGCTAAGGCAAAGCAAAGATAAGAAATCATAAATACAGTGTTAGCAACTTTAACAAAAAGTAAAGTTAAGTAACAAATAATGGAGATATCTTGGATACTCTCATTTTTACTGTTGATTATTTCCCTCACCATATTTTTGAAGCTTTTCAAGAAACAAAAAACACCTACAAACTTACCTCCAGGTCCTCCAAAGTTACCCTTAATAGGCAACCTCCATCAACTTGCATCCAAGAACACCCTCCCACACCGCCGTCTAGCCGAGCTAGCGGCAGTGTATGGCCCTATCATGCACCTTAAGCTAGGAGAAGTTTCGACCGTTGTAATATCATCACCCGGGATGGCGAGGGAGGCGCTGAAAACTCATGATGCGGTGCTTTGTGATAGGCCAAAGTTGTTGATGCCCCAAGTTGTGTTCTACAAAAGCACTGATATTGCACTAGCCCCTTATGGTGAGTACTGGCGCCAAGTCCGTAAGATCGCAACCCTCGAGCTCTTTACTGCCCGCCGTGTTCAAGGGTTTCGATGCTTTAGAGAAGATGGGGTCATGGATTTCATCAAGTCGTTACTTCCTGAGGCGGAGGCTGGGTCTGTGATCAACCTCACTAGTAAAATATTTGCCCTCAGCTTCGACATCACCTTAAGGTACATATATTTTGAAATTACAGTTTATAACGTACTCCCTCCATTTTGTAATAATCGGAACACTTTGGCTTTTGCACTACTCATATGTTTATTTTGACTATATATTTTACCATGAAAAACATATATTGCCATGTAAATAATTTTAGTATATTTTTCATTATATTAACCATTTATACTTCTTAATAATATATAATTACAAATATTGATGGTCAAAGTTGTAGGTTGACATGTGTGCCAGTCAAAATGTTACGATTATTAATGGAGGGAGTATATAACAAGATCACATGTGACGCTGTATTCACTTAAATCTGTAAATCACATAACACGTTCAAATTAAAGTTTACTTAGTATGACCTCATGTATAGTTGAATTGATTTGTTTAAACGTACACTAGGTTAGCTTTGAATAAGAAAGCAGATGACGGAGAAGAATTCAGAAAGCTAGTAGCAGATATGGCAGCATTACTCTCCGGCTTTTCGATCGGTGACTTATATCCATCGATTGAGTTCATAAGTGTGGTTTCTGGTATGAAAAGGAAACTTCAAGATATTGTTAAGAGAGTTGACAAGATAATGGATCCCATTATAGAGGAGCATTTGTGTAACAAGAGACTAGGTCAAAACGAGGGTGACGAAGACATTGTTGATATTCTACTACAATTTCATAATGATAATTTACAACATCATACAAATGAATTTTCGCTCACCACTGATAATATCAAGGCTATCATTATTGTAAGTTGATCAATTCAATACTTAAGCTATCTATAGCTTTAATCAATTCATATATGTTTAGCACGCGTTTAATTTATATATATGGTTTGTAATAGGAGGTGTTTAGTGCTGGAGGAGAGACATCATCTACGACAATAGATTGGGCAATGTCCGAGTTGTTAAAGAACCCTAGAGTAATGGAAAAGGCACAAAATGAGGTGAGACGAGTTTTTCAAGGAAAAAAAATAATGATCGACGAGGCAAGTCTAGACAAACTCGTGTACATGAAACTTGTAATCAAAGAAACGTTAAGGCTTCATCCTCCTGTCCCTTTCTTGGTTCCTAGGGAATCCATGGAGAGATGTGAAATTAATGGTTATGAAATACCTCCAAACACTAGAGTTTTCGTCAATGCATGGGCTATTGGAAGAGATCCCGAATATTGGCAAGACCCTGAAGTGTTTAGTCCCGAAAGATTTGAAGATTCACCGATAAACTACAGGGGAACTTATTATGAATTAATTCCATTTGGCGCGGGAAGGAGAATGTGCCCTGGAATGGGACTAGGGTTAGCCACCGTTGAGCTTGTGTTAGCTATGTTGCTTTACCATTTTGATTGGAAGTTACCTCATGGGGAAAGACCTCAAGGTCTTAACATGGATGAGACCTTTGGCATTGTAGGGAGGAGGAAAAATGATTTGGAACTTATTCCTGTGCTTTACTCCTTAGGTTTCAAATAATATAATGTATGGTCTTCTTTCAAGCAGATGAAAGTTGCCATTTATATGACTGGTAATTTAATTTGTATTTGTAAATATGTTTTGTATGGTGCATGGAACGAACATATTGGGTATCATTAATAAAATCATCAATCAAAACTAAAAAGTGGTTAGAGGACTTAGAGCTTCCTTCTCAATTCCAGGAAATTATGGAATCGATTCTCATCACCCGCCCTTGTGGCATATTATGCATGTATGGACGCATCGTGTGGATCAAGTGCTTAAAGTCATGTATATTTCTCTAATTCTTTTGCTCAAAGTCATGTCTAATTCTTCATATTTGCTTATAGTACCTACAAAAACTACAAAAATATATTTGGTTTTAATAAAGTACAATACTATTTGTTTGATAAACTTTCGCCGTTTTTATATGCATCTTCAGTTGTCTCTTTTATTATTGTCATACAAAGTATTTTGTAAAAAAAATTATTGTATCCATTCTAAAACTATCCTAAAAACAAATAAGCAGTAGAAAATTTGCAACAGTTGTGTATGCCTGTATAACGAACTGCACTGTATTGAAGTATATCGCTGAAGATTATTGTTCGTGCAATCGTGCTACACATTTTATTTCTCACGTGCATACGTGATCTTGAACTTGTGATGTATTCAATATTCATCCTTGAGTATAAATCTGAATTAACATGTCATTTTCCTCCACCGCTAAAAACATTGAGAGAAATAATATTAAAACATTGAATCCAATTCATAAGATCCGATAAGAAATTCAAGTAATAAATAACTATATTAGTCTCTCTCAGGCATAATAAATAACTATATTAGTCTCTCTCAGGCTAATTGTAAACAAATCAACAAATAAACCAAAAAAATAAAACTATGAAAGTCAATTTGCACTTGTACTCAACCACATCGATCCATGCAATCCCTATTTTGCCAATTCTAAACACTAATTAATTATTAGAGAAATCTTGATGATATGTTGATTAAGGGAGGGCGAGAGATAATATATGATAATTACGTGTTTGATTTGCGCACTTAAACTTGTTAGCAAGTTAGTTGAAAGTAGTTTTCTCACATTAAAATATAGAGGGAGAATCGGAGAATAAACTAGTAACTCCACGTATTACATATTTATCTTACTAGATTGTATCAGGCCAGACTCTTCTTCGACGTAAATAATGTGAGATTTAAGGTCGTGCTTCTACTAGATCATGTGAAACCCCCTAGTTCTTCATAACCCATTAAAAATACACTGTTGTAATTAAGTATATATTCATCATTTTGACTAGCTTGATGATGTCAGATTAATTGCATGAGTGGGACAGAATGAGTTTTTTTTGGAGGAATTGTTTATGTACAGAATTATTACTGGTCCTGACGAATTTAATCATAAATTTTCCCTGCAAATACATTCCATGTTAAGGCCTTGAATTACAACTTACGTTAACACAATACCTAATTGATTATGCACATAATGATTATCTCACCCCTTAAAATAGTTTATTTTAATTTTAGATGAATAAAAGATATTCAACTAGATTTAATCTATGCTTTTTGAGTTGGCAAAATCTAATTGGTTTATCCAAGAAGAAAACTTTAAACAAGTCAAAAACTTTTTATTTTCTTTGTTTATTTATGGTTAATTGTAGCATTTTGACTTTAGCATTATCAACGTATAACTTTAATTATTACTCTGTAATATATTTAAATTACCTTTTAGTAACCAAATACTTATAAATAAATATACATTGACACTAATTCAACAATGTTTTACGGAATTTAATTTGTGCGTAATGTCTTTGTGGACTACTAAATAATGCAGATAAAGATAGCAAATGAATAGTGTAAAGGTGAACATATTGTGATGCCGTCAATTTATCATAAACAAATTAAAAAGAGTATGAAGTTTGAATCTTGTTTTCCTCACTAATTGTTATACTATCAGATGATAAAGTAAAGCAGAATCCTCGACTAAATGCGAAAGTGTTGTCCTTTTTAATAAAAAGAAAAACGGCTGGGAACAAGAAGAACAAATACCAAAGTAAACTAATTAATTAATTAAAGGCTTAAAGCATCTACTTTAATTTAATTTGTTTTGGGTTAATACCCTTTTCCTAATGTTATGTGCTTACCAAAAGAGCTATGGTCCAAGGATTCGAGCTAATGATGCTGCATAATTGTAGGGCTTCTTGTCTTATGGAAAGATTTCCCCTAACAAAAGTGTTGATAAGTATATTAGGTGACTCGTACTTCGTAGCTTTGTCCGCCCGATCGGGCGGACATTGCCCGGTCTGACCGGGCGGAAGAAGAAGAGGTGCCTGGCAAATTCGTTGAAGAAGCTGCTCTCGCGCCCGACCGGGCGAGCCTTCGCCCGACCGGGCGAGCCTTCGCCCGACCGGGCGAGCCTTCGCCCGATCGGGCAGACCTTGCCCGGTCTGACCGGGCGGAAGGGGTTTTTTGGAGTACTTCGGTTGTTGGAAAAGACGTGTTCTCGCGCCCGATCGGGCGGGCCTTCGCCCGACCGGGCGATCTGGGTTTTTTCAGCGATTACGAATTTAATATTTATCATATTGTGATATTGTAACCTAAGTATATCTTAATTAGGAATCACTACTATATAAACTTCCTATTATCATTATTAGGGTAACGGAGAGAGAAACACAAGAGAGACAGAGTGAGAGCCGTTCTTGAGAAATACAAGAATCATCTTTGTAATCTTTGCAGTTTATAGTGAAATCATTCGATCTCGGTGCCCGTGGACGTAGCTATCACATCGATAGTGAACCACGTAAATTCTTGGTGTTGTTCTTATTGTTTGCATTGAATTTCTTTATTGTTTTCTTGTTTGTTTTCGACCTTTGCTTCCGCTGTCGCACAACAATTGGTATCAAGAGCTCAGGTTCAATCCTTGGAGAGTTTCTTGAAGATAACAATGGCAGGAGATTCAACAATAAGAATTGAGAAGTTTACCGGGAAAAATAGTTTCGGGCTATGGCAAATTAAGATGAAGGCTCTGTTAAAACAACAGCAGATATGGCGTCCGTTGGCTCCAAAGAGTACTACTTCGGAGTCAGGAGACGGACCGACTGACTCGCAGTTAGAAGTTATGGAAGAGAAGGCACACTCTACCATATTACTTAGTCTTGATGATCAAATCATCACGGAGGTTGCTGATCAGGAAACGGCGGCTGGATTGTGGCTGAAGCTGGAGTCATTGTATATGACTAAGTCGTTGACCAACAAATTATTACTGAAACAGCGGTTGTTTAGCCTCCGGATGCAGTCAGGTACTTCCTTACGGGAACATCTAGAAAAACTTAACTCTATTTTGCTTGATTTACGTAATTTAGATGTTAAAATTGATGATGAGGATGCTGCGTTGATTTTACTTGTATCTCTACCGTCTAGCTTTGAGAATTTTGTAGAGTCTTTTGTTGTTGGTAAGGATTCTATAACCTTAGAAGAAGTGAAGGCAGCACTTCATACTAGGGAACTCAGAATGAAAGCTACGAGTGATAATGGGGATAATGGTAGTGGGTTGTTTGTTAAGTCCGGAAAGTCTAAAAAGAATAAGGGGTTTAACAAGGGGAACAATGCTGGGTCGGGTGCTGGAAACGGCAAGGATGGATCTAGTAAAACTACTACTAAAACATGTTATTACTGTAAAGAACCGGGTCACTTTAGGAATAATTGTCCGGTGAGGAAAAACAAGTCCCAGGCTGCTGTAGTTGAAGAGAAACCGAATGAGAGCTATAATTCAGAGGAAGATTTAGCATTAGTCAGTTCTGCTAGGTCTGATGATTTATCTGATAACTGGGTTCTAGATTCGGGGTGTTCGTTCCATATGTGTCCACGTCGAGATTGGTTTGATACATATGAACCTCGCAATGGGGGTATGGTTATAGTCGGTAACAATGCTCCATGTAAGGTCACAGGTATTGGTTCCATGAGGTTGAGGACTGTTGATGGGCGGAGGTTAACTTTGACTAATGTACGGCATGTTCCTGCTTTAGGAAAGAATCTGATTTCATTGGGTACCCTGGATGAATTGGGGTACAATGGTGTGTTTTCAGATGGGGAGTTGTGTATTTTCAGAGGTTCTGAGTTGGTACTTAAGGGTATCAAAAGGAACACCCTCTATGTTTTTGAGGGTGTTACACTGCCTAGTTCTGCGGTTTGCGCATCTGTATCTCACCAGGAGATGACTAAGATTTGGCACATGAGGCTTGGTCATATGGGGGAGAAGGGGATGCAGCTATTGTCCAAGAGGGGTCTTCTATCCGGGGTCAAGGTTGCCAACCTTGAATTTTGTGAGCATTGTGTGTTTGGTAAGAAACACAGGTCAAAGTTCAGCAAGGGTGCTCACATTACTGATGCAGTGCTCGATTACATCCATTCAGATTGCTGGGGTCCATCTAGAGTTGAAGGTATGGGAGGTTACCACTATTTTGTGTCATTTGTTGATGACAAGTCCCGATACACATGGCTTAGGTTGCTTAAGTCAAAGGATGAGGCCTTCAAAGTTTTCAAGCAATGGAAAGCTTTGGTGGAAAATCGACAAGGAAGGAAGATCAAGAAGCTACGAACGGACAATGGGCTAGAGTTTTGCAAAGACGAGTTTAATCAGTTCTGTGCAGATGAGGGTATAGGTCGGCATCATACTGTCAGGAAGACACCACAGCAGAACGGTGTAGCAGAACGGGTTAATCAGACACTGCTAGAGAGAGTTCGATGCATGCTCTCTAATGCAGGGCTTGGGAGGAGGTACTGGAGTGAAGCTGTGTTAACAGCTTGTTATGTCATTAATAGGGGTCCTCATTCTGGAATTGATTCCAAAATTCCGTTTGAGATCTGGAGTGGTAAGTTGCCTAATTTTTCGAATTTGAAGATTTTTGGTTGTGTTGCTTATTATCATGTTATTGAGGGTAAGCTGGATCCACGAGCCAAGAAGGGGTGTTTTGTTGGGTACGGGGATGGTGTGAAGGGGTTTAGAATTTTTTCACCTTCGGAGGGTCGGGTCATTCTTAGTAGGGATGTTACTTTCGATGAAAACACCATGTATTCAATTAAAAATGCAGAGATTTCAGATTTGAGAAGGGAAGGAGACAATTTATTACAGACAGATGGGGTACTTGAGGTACATCAGTCTACCATTGC